TGGGCTGCCTGGGTGATCTGCAGTGGGTCCTGGAGGTGGTGAGTGGTCCTGCGGGCCGGCAGGGTGGGGGCTGGGTAAGGGGTGGAACAGGGTAGGGCCAGTTTTTGGGCACTCGGTCTCTAAAAGGTTCGCCATCACTGTTGTATACCATTCCTTACTTTTAAAAACTGTGATGGATACCTGATCAGTTTCGCCTTCTGAGCAATGGGTGCATTTGAGCTGGCCACTTTTAACAGTTACTGCTTTCTGACCCAAAAGGCTCCCGGTGTGTTGGGGGGGATTAGGGTTAAAAAGGGGCACGTTGCAGCCACCATTTTGACTTTTCTGATCCCCCCCCCTTCGGATTTTGGGAAGCAGCCCACCCAAATGCTTCAAATACGTCCATTGGCTCAAAAAAACCAAAAAATTGCAATCGATTTCTGGCTTAAAGGAACCCACAATGGGGTCTGGGCTTTTATTTTGGCTCAATAAACAACAGTGAGATTGTTTCTTTTTGCTCAATTTCCCACAATTAAGTCACAGGGAAAAACAACAACAACAACAAAAAACCTGAACAGCTTTTAAGGACCGGGCTAATTGCTCAGAGCTGTTCAAGGCCTCTGCAATTTGCTTTTGAGTCATCCGAATTTACTGGAAAAAACGTGGACCATCGAGGCAGTTTCGGAAGAAATTTCATCCAATTACTTCCTGTCACGTTCACACGTTCAAAAGCTGGCTCGGCACCGGGAAAGCGAAAAAAAACCCAGGAATTCGATTGCCAGGCCCAAAATTCATGGGATCCTAGGTTTGGAAGGGGGGTCTCCTACCCCAGGGCTTTTCAACCTTTTCACCCATTGTACCACTTTTAGGATATGGCAATATCCAAGTACCACCAGTTGCCTAGCAAGGTGTCAAAAACTTGATGACCCAAAAAAAAAAAAGGAAAAAAGTGATAAGGTACAGGTAGTCCTCGACTTACAACAGTTCGCTTAGTGACTGTTTGAAGTTACAGTGGCACTGAAAAAAGTGCCCCCCAAACCACAGCCAAGCAAGACACCTGTCTGCCCACTCAGCGGCGCTCTTCCTCCTGTCCGAGGTTTTCATTGTTGTGAGCATTTCTGTTGAGGATTGGCAGCGGGGGTGGGGTGGGGGGGTGTTTGGTTTTTATTCCCCCCGTCTGCTGGGTGGTTGCAGCAGGTTTTGGTCACTTCACATGACCCTGGGACACTGTGACCGTCATAAATATGAATCAGTGGCCAAGCATCTGAATGTAAATCACAAGACCCTGGAGATGCTGCAACATTCCAGCTGATCGGTGCTTCTTCTGGGCTCAGCAGAAGTGCCAGGATCAGTGCCGAGCTCCAACTGGATCCTGGCGCTGATCCTGGCGCTTCCGCTGAGCCCTGACAGCCCTGCAGCTCCAGCCGTCTCTCGCTCAGGCTTGTGCAGTGCTGCCACCGGTTCAGCTCATTCCCCTCCCCCGCTACCACTTTTCTAGGATGGTCGCGTACCACCTGCCAGGTGCCAATGGACCACAGGTGGTACCCCTACCACTGGTTGAAAAGGCCTGTCCTACCTGAAGCCCTTGACCAAGGTGGGCATAGACCCAGGGGTGTCAAACTCAATTTCATTGAGGGCCGCATCAGCATTGCAGGTGCCCTGGGGTGTGTGTGTGTGTGGCCAGGATGGGTGTGGCCTACTGAGTGGGCGTGACCAGCTCTACATCATTTGCATCAAGGATGCCTGTGGGGGCCTGGGCAGGAGTGGGACAGATCTGAGGGTCTCTGGCAGAAGGGGGTGGGACCAGGGCAGAGCCCATCAAGCCAGATATGTGAAGTAGGTGAGGGCCATTTGCTGGCCACTTCCAGGCGATGGCCCATTTCTTCATTCCTCACAAAGGGGGACCCCTCCCCAGCATGCACCCAGGGGGCGGGGCCAACGCGGCAGGGGCTGGTTCCTCGCCGTTTCCGGACGGCCTTGTGGAGCTAAGACTGAATGCGTTTCAGCATAGATGGCCACCACAAAATTGTACATTGGCTCCCGGCCGGCCTGGGCCAGGGCCAAGGCAGCGGAGTCCGTTCCCTCACTGTTTCCAGGATGGCTTCGCGGGCCGCATGAAACCACTTCGCGGGCCGCATCCGGCCCCCGGGCCTTGTGTTTGACATGTCTGGCATAACCCTTCCCTAGCAAGGGAGGACAACTTTCAGGAGGAAGATGGAACACCAGACATGCACAGTCTCAATAGAAGACAATTTTTATAGCTCAGGCTTCAATGGTGGGGTCCTTGGCGCACTCCGAGCTCGGGGGGGGGGGTTCTTGCAGACATTTCATGACCCAACTGGGGGACATCATCAGAGCTAGGAAGAGGAAGACAAGACAACTGTGGGGTCCTTGGCGCACTCCAAGCTTGGGTGTTTTCTTGCAGACATTTCATGACCTAACTGGGGAACATCATCAGAGCTAGGAGGAAGAGGAGGACTGTGAGGTCCTTGGCGCACTCCGAGCTTGGGGGTTTTCTTGCAGACATTTCATGACCCAACTGGGGGACATCATCAGAGCTAGGAGGAAGAGGAGGACTGTGAGGTCCTTGGCGCACTCCGAGCTTGGGGGTTTTCTTGCAGACATTTCATGACCCAATTGGGGAACATCATCAGAGCCAGGAGGAGGAGGAAAGGATTTTGGGGTCCTTGCCGCACTCCGAGCTCAGGGGTTTTCTTGCAGACATTTTATGACCCAACTTGGGGACATCATCAGAGCTAGGAGGAGGAGGAGGAGGACTGTGGGGTCCTTGGCGCACTCCCGAGCTTGGGGGTATTCTTGCAGACATTTCATGACCCAACTGGGGGACATCATCAGAGCTAGGAGGGAGGGGGATTTGTGGAGAGGAGGAGGACTGTGGGGTCCTGGGTGCTTTCTGAGCTCGGCTGCTTTCTTGCAGACGTCTCATGACCCAACGAGGTAACGTCACTAGTGCACTCAAGAGAGAAGGCACTCCAGCATTATTTAGCTGTGGCCTAAAAGAAAGTCAAGAAACCGTCTTTCTTATAAATTGGTTTAATGTGTATTTGTTTTCGGTCCACTTTTCATTTTTTATTTTTTTTTAAATTCTCTTTCCCTTCGACGCTAGGTTGCATGTTAATGCTGGGTGCTGAAATTTCATCCAGACACTTATCACAAAAGACAAGTACGTTAGGGGCAAAGGGGGGGCCTCTTCTTCCTCGGCACATTCCGGAAAGAACCGGAGTCCCGGGCGATGCCGTGGGAAGGGGCTTCAAATTTCTAGGGCAGTGACGACGAACCTTTTAGAGACCGAGTGCCCAAAGTGCAACCCAAAACCCACTTATGCATCGTCGGGTGCCGGGTGGGCGTGGCCCATTGGCTGGGCGTGGCCTATTGGCTGGGCGTGGCTGCGGTGCTAACGGTAGACTGGGTGGGACTAAAAAGTTCAATCAATCAATTCCAACTTTGCGAGATCTTTTTTTTTTCCCGCAAGAAGTTGAAATTGACTGATTGATTGAACCTTTTTTTTTGTACACGGTGGCGGAGGCCTAAAGCGAAAAGGTTTTATAAAACCCAGCTGAAGGCCTAGGACTGGGGCGATGGTGCGTGTGCCCACAGAGAGGGCTCTGAGTGCCACCTCTGGCACCCGTGCCATAGGTTCGCCACCACTTCCCTGGAGGATTAAATTGGAGTATGCCGTATTTTTCTGGGTGTCGCATCACATGTCTGAAATATTCTAATTTTCATTTTTTAATTGTTTTGATGAATTCCCTTGGCTTTCCGAGGCGGCTTATCACCCCCTCATAGGTTCGCCGCCATTCTATGGATACTTCCTCCCAATTAAGACTCAAACAAGATTCCCCAAACATCCGGCTGGCAGAATTCGACTTTGGCACCCGAAGCAGCCCTTTCTCAGCCTTCCTGCTGAGGTGTCATCTTTATTCTGAAAGGGGAGGTGTCCCTTCCCACCCTCCCCAGAATAGGCAGGACAAGAAGCAACGGATGGAAACTAACCAAAGAGAGAAGCAACCTAGAACTAAGGAGAAACTTCCTGACAGTTAGAACAATTAACCATTGGAACAACCTGCCTCCAGAAGCGGTGAATGCTCCAACACTGGAAGTTTTTAAGAAGAGACTGGACAGCCGTTTGTCCGAAATGGTATAGGGTTTCCTGCCCGAGCAGGGGGTTGGACTAGATGACCTCCAAGGTCCCTTCCGACCTTATTATTATTATTATTAACAACAACCTGCCTCCAGAAGTGGTGAATGCTCCAATACTGGAAGTTTTTAAGAAGAGACTGGACAGCCATTTGTAACTGAAATGGTATAGGGTCTCCTGCCCGAGCAGGGGGTTGGACTAGATGACCTCCAAGGTCCCTTCCAACATTATTATTATTATTATTATTATTATTAACAACCTACCTGCAAAAGCTGTGAATGCTCCAACACTGGAAGTTTTTAAGAAGAGATTGGACAGCCATTTGTCTGAAATGGTATAGGGTTTCCTGCCCGAGCAGTGGGTCGGACTAGATGACCTCCAAGGTCCCTTCCAGCCCTTTGTGCCTAAGATCCTATGATTCCTGATTGACTTCAGAATCCAATCGCGTCCCCAAGGTTAATGTAGATCCCTACTCTGGGGAAAACTCATCAAGGAGAGAAGCAACATGTGGAACTAAGGAGAAATTTCCTGACAGCGAGAACAATTAATCAGCGGAATGGCTCGGCTTCAAAAGCTGTGAATGCTGCAACCCTGGAGGTTTTTAAGAAGAGACTGGACAGTCATTTGCCCGGAATGCTATAGGGTCTCCTGATCGAGGAGGGGGCTGGACTAGATGACCTCCAAGACCCCTTCCAACTCGGTTATTCTATTCTGTTCTCTAATTTATCAGCGGAATGGCTTGACTTCAAAGCTGGCGGATGCTCCAACCTGGATGTTTTTTTTTTAAAGAAGAGACTGGACAGTCACTTGTCTGAAAGGGGAACAGGGTCTCCTGCCTGAGCAAGGGGCTGGACTAGATGACCTCCAAGGTCCCTCCGGGGACTCCTCTTTAGCATCACGTAAGCCGCCCCCATGGCGGCATCGGCGACTTGGCCGTGGACCACGGGGAGCGCAAAGGCCTTCTCCGCTTCCTGCTTCATCACTTCGTTCCGGCAGAGCCCGCTTCCGCTGGCCACGATCCGCTCGGCCCCGGCTTCCTTCAGGTTCCCGGAAGGGAGCATGGCGTGAAGGTTTTGGATCACCCCCCGGCACAAGGAGCGGACCACGTGCCCCAGGGACATGTCGGAGGCCGCGATGTCCGTCACCGAAGCCAGAGTGGCGGGTGCGTGTCTTTCCCCGAAGAGGGTGGGGCAGACGCGGAGACAGCTCTCGGCCTGGCTCAACCCAGCCTCTATCATCGGCCGGTAGACATCGGATTCGGAGAGTTCCAGCCCTGCCCAAAGGAAGAAGGGGAGAAGGTGGAGCAGGAGTTAGGATTCTACGGGTTAGTCCTCGCCTTACGACCACAAGGAAGTCCAAGAAAGGGAGGGAAGGAAGGAAGGAAAGGGAGGGAGAGAAGGAAGGAAGGAAGGAAGGAAAGAAGGGAGAAAATAGAGGGAAAGAAGGAAGGAAGGAGAAAGGGGAAGGAGGAAGGAGAAAAGGAAGGGAAAGAGGGAAGGAAGGGAGGAGAAAAGGGAGGGAGGAAGGAAAGGAAGGAAGGAGAAAAGGGAGGGAGGGAAGGAAGGAGAAAAGGGGAGGAAGGAAGGGAAGGAGGGAGAAAGGGAAGGAAGGAAGGAAGGAAGGAAGGAAGGAAGGAGAAAAGGGAAGAAGGAAGGGGAAAAGGAAGGGAAGGAAGGGAAAAGGGAGGGAGGGACGGAAGGGGAAAGGGAGGGAGAAAGGGAGGGAGGAAGGAAGAAGGAAGGAAGAAAAGGGGAGAGAAGGAAGAAAAGGGAGAGAGGGAAGGAGGGAGGGAGGAAGGGATGAAGGACAAAAGGGGGGGGAGAAGAAAGAAAGAAGGGAACAGGGAGGGAGAGAGGGAAGGAAGGAAGGGGAGGGAAGGAAGGAAGGAAGGAAGGAAGGATTGCCTTCCCAGAGTTAGGCCAAGCCCATCCCCATCCTGAAAGACCCTACCCAGCTCAGCCATCCATCCAGACACCATCTTCACGAACGCGGCCATCACGTTTCCGCCGTTTAGCGAAGCAGCCACCGCCAGATACCGGTTGTCAAAATACGGGAAATATTGCACGGGTGATTTTGGATCTGGAGCCTCCACAGGCTGGAACCCGGGTGGCAGGGGGACCGCCAGCTGGGCTGAGGTGCCGATGTTGAGAACTTGGGAGATGGCAGGAAGGAAAGAGAGAAGAATTAATCCAAAATGAAGTTGCCTTTTAAACAAAATGAGAGTTTTCCACAGCGGCCCTGCCTAACCCTTCCTCAACTCAATCACACGCCAAAGCATTTCATTTATTTATTTTTACAAATAGCACTCCACTTACCGCCCAAAATTTCTCTTGCTAAGTAAGATAGCTGTTAAGCGAGTTTTGCCCCATTTTTATGATCCTTCTTGCCACAGTTGCCCTCCTCCTCCTCCTCCACTCCAGAAACCCCATTTCCTTCCAGTCCTGATGTTACTTACCGTGTCTCCCCAAAAATAAAACTGGGTCTTATTTTTTTTGCCTCCAAAAGAGGCACTGGGTCTTATTTTCGGGGTAGGCCTTACCTCACCTCCAGTACCACCCAGCCGGTCCGCTTCTTCTGGGGCCGAAGTTCTGCAGCTGCATTTGGGCCTGGATTTTGCAGTTAGGCCTTTCCAGAAGGCCTAAGCAGCCGAGTACCGAGCGATGGCCTTCCGGAAAGGCCTGTGACTGAGAAAGACAGGCCTGGCTGCAGAAGAGGCCTCAGAAGAAGAAGTGGGCCAGTGAGGGGAGGCCTGGCTGCAAGGGAAGCGGGTGTGGGGCGCGTGGGACAGCTCCCACCTCCGCCCTAGCTTGATTTTTAGCGGTGCGCCTTGCCCCCAAACTAGGGCTTATTTTTGGGGTAGGGCTTATATTAGGCCCACTCCACAAAATCAAGCTATGGCTTATGGTTGGTGTAGGCCAGTGGTAGGCAACCTTGGCTCCAGAATTCCTGGCTGGCTCAGGAATACTGGGAGTTAATAATAGTAATGATAGTAATGATAGTAATGATAATAGTAGTAATAGTAGTAATAGTAGTAATAGTAGTAATAGTAGTAATAGTAATAGTAGTAATAGTAATAGTAATAATAGTAATAATAGTAATAATAGTAATAGTAATAGTAATAGTAATAATAATAATAATAATAATAATAATAATAATAATAATAATAAGAAGAAGAAGAAGAAGAAGAAGAAGAAGAAGAAGAAGAAGAAGAAGAAGACGATGACGACTGCGTCCAGTTTTGGTCACCGCGATGTAAAAAAGATGTTGAGACTCTAGAAAGAGTGCAGAGAAGAGCAACAAAGATGATTAGGGGACTGGAGGCTAAAGCATATAAGGAACGGCTGCTGGAATTGGGTCTGTCTAGTTTAATGAAGAGAAGGACGAGGGGGGACAGGATAGCAGTCTTCCAATATCTCAGGGGCTGCCCCAAAGAAGAGGGAGTCAAGCTATTTTCCAAAGCGCCTGAAGGCAGGACAAGAAGCAACGGGTGGAAACTGATCAAGGAGAGAAGCAACCTAGAACTAAGGAGAAACTTCCTGACAGAACAATTAACCAGTGGAACAACCTGCCTCCAGAAGCGGTGAATGCTCCAACACTGGAAGTTTTTAAGAAGAGACTGGACAGCCATTTGTCTGAAATGGTATAGGGTTTCCTGCCTGAGCAGGGGGTTGGACTAGATGAACTCCAAGGTCCCTTCCAACTTTACTATTATTATTATTATTATTATTATTATTATTATTATTATTATTATTATTATTATTATTATTATTATTATTATTATTATTATTATTATGAAGTAGTAGTAGTAGTAGTAGTAGTAGTAGTAGTAGTAGTAGTAGTAGTAGTAGTAGTAGTAGTAGTTGTTGGAAGGGACCTTGGAGGTCCTCTAGTCCAACCCCCCGCTCAGGCAGGAGACCCTACACCATTTCAGACAAATGGCTGTCCAGTCTCTTCTTAAAAACTTCCAAGCATTCACCGCTTCTGGAGGCAGGTTGTTCCACTGGTTAATTGTCTTCACTGTCAGGAAGTTTCTCCTTAGTTCTAGGTTGCTTCTCTCTTTGGTTAGTTTCCATCGGTTGCTTCTTGTTGAAGTCCACGAGTCATAAAAGAGCCGAGGTTGCCTACCCCTGGTGTAGGCCTTACTTTCAGGGAAACACGGTAGTTCAGGGGTCCACAACCCCCGATCCGCGCAATCAAGCAAAGCCCCATCTGCAGGATGCAGGCAGTACATGAAACCAGGTCCCCTCCGGTCCACGGGAAAACCACGGAACCGGCCCCTGATGCCCAAAAGGTTGGGGACCTAGTTGGGTCATGAAACGTCTGCCAGAAAAACATCAAGCTCAGAGAGCACCAAGCAAAGTGTCTCTACAAGCCGTCATTTTCCTGCCACGCAGAAGCATTTGGCCTTAGTCAAGTTCAACATTTCCGTGGGGTTTCAGGGGCAGCTACCTGCATCACTGTCTTCAGACATGCAAGAGTAAACTGAGCATTGGAAATCTCCCAGGGCTATCCCAACCTTGGTTCCGGCTGGGACCCGGTGCCACGGTATGCAGGTTTCCCCAGCAAGGTCTCCGGAATCGACCACTTCAGGAAGCAAACGGATGGGAAAGCCAGAGTCTTCCAAACTAAAAAGAGAAGTAGAAATTGACCAGTGTGTGTGTGTGTGTGTGTGTGTGTGTGTTGAGGCTGAATAACACGGGCCGTCCTTAATGTATAAGCACAATTCTGGGAGTGGAAGTCCACCCATCTTAAAAGCAGGCTAGCTGGGGAATTCTGGGAGTGGAAGTCCACCCCTCTTAAAGCAGGCTGGCTGGGGAATTCTGGGAGTGGAAGTTCACCCTTCTCAAAGCAGGCTGGCTGGGGAATTCTGGGAACTGAAGTCCGCCCCTCTTAAAGCATGCTGACTAGGGGATTCTGGGAGTGGAAGCCCACCCATCTTAAAGCATGTTGGCTGGGGGATTCTGGGAGTTGATCCACCCTTCTTCAAGCTACC